AACTTAGTTATCCTGTCACACTAATCCTTGTTTACAATGAACGCATGTCAATTGACCAGCCAAACATCCTTTTTTATATACTTAAGCAGAAGTATCACGATGGACAGTGCATACAACTGTTTGTCAAACAATATCAAGCAATATTTTAGATTCAGAATCACCATACCATGACATAACAGAAACATATATATTAAATTGTATATATTCATATTTGCTGCTATTCACGATAAATTTATTTTACCGTCACTGTTTAAAACTATTCTGAACTACTTGTATGTATAGATCATCTTATTTCTAAACAGTAGGTGAACGTATTATACATCTAACTGTTACAAAAGTCTGCTGAAATCTTCTATTTCTTTATTATGTAAAATGCCGTCAAAATGAATAAATGCCAATTATTTCATAGCACTCCAAATATAGTTGTCATAATGAACATAGTTTTAAAGTATATTTGTCACATGCCCGGTATTATTAGTAATATTTTCAATATCAACCACATATTGTGAGAATCCAGTTAGAAGGAACTGAGTGAAGCAGTGACAAAATCTATCCATATATACAAAATTGTATATTTTTGGATATACCATATATACAAATTGTATATTTTTGGATATACCATATATACAAATTTCATATTTTGTATATATTGGAATTTTCCCTTGTGTTGCATACACGAGGCGTTCCATCGCTGCACATTAATTACATTTCTTATGTTGTTACATTATTCATTGAAAACCACAGTTTAACGTCTGAAGAATTAAAGTTTACGGGTTGTATCTTTGGAAGCAATTCTAATGTGCATTTTAAGCGCGCCACAATGCTCTTCGTGTTACAGGTAGTTCATTGTAGACGATAAGTGAAATCTCTCTAATTACCATACCTTTGACAATGCCCTTTATTTCTTGTCGTGTCAGGAATTTGCAACTATTCTCATCGGTGGTCCCCTAAAAGGAGAATTCAATATAGAGAAAATTGCTTCTCTCGCTCTATACAACACAACCAGAGCTTTCTGATAAGTTACCACGTGGACTGTAGTTGGTATTGATGTGTTCGTCATATGCATTGTACTTTGGGTAAGACGCATTGTATGACATTAGAAGAGGGTTCATTGATTTGTGCTTGTGTGATTATATATATTTCAATTACATCATTGTATTTTTCTTTAAATTTAGATTGATAACGATTACATTAATGTTGTACAGTAGGTGTAATCAATTGTAGTGAACATACGTTACATGGACGTACATTTCTTGTGATATAAATATATAGCATGCATAACTGCTATATGATATGTTTCATGAAGAGCATGAAAAGCTGTACCGATAGTCAGGTATTAGCTTTTTTGAATGTATTGCTATTTCAGGCGGTACTGACCTATAGCATTATTGTACAGGGCATGATTATTATTTTAATTTGTGTAGGACTTTTCCCCATTTTCGTTCAAATTGTAACAGACCATTGTTTTTTGTGGCAATGAGTTTTTAATCTTCTTTTTTTTTTATCTTTTACTGGATATTATAATATGATTTAGTAAAAGTTCATTTGGTCAAATCCAGATATAACTGAGTATTTGGTAAGTGAGATCCTAGTATTGATATCAAGGTTTAAAAAGGTTTCCAGATTGCTCCAAAAGTGTTTAACATATTCACATTCCCAATATACATGTATAAGGTTTTCACCATTTATATCACAAAAGGAGTAAATATCATTGTCAACTAGTTTCATTTTTAATAATTCCTTTTTGGTGTAAATTATTCTATGGATAAACTTAAACTGAAAGTTAATCAATTTAGTATCTTTAGTACATTTTTCTGAAGTTTGAATAAACTTCTTTCCATGGAATATCATCGTCAAAAAGATACTACCATTTTCCATTTACTAAGGGTGGTTTTGTTATTGTAATTAGTCTATCATAAAAGTACCTAGATCCTTGAACGGGTATAAATATATCCCTCAATTGTGGACTAAGATTTAAGTCATATATTGGTATTTGGATATAGTGATTGACAGTGTCTCTCCATTCTTTAGGTATACTAAGTTTAACCTTATTATAATCTAGTATTGTGCCCTGTATATCATAACGTACTTTTAATATTTCAAATGGCAGAAATCCATTCTCATTACATAAGTCCTTAATTGTCATTATACCCTTTTTAAACCAATTTTTAATTATGTAGTTTTCATGTTTAAATTGGTGATTTAGTCATAGGGCCTGTGATAGAATTTCGGAAATTTTCTGCCATGATTTCCCCAAACATTTAAAACGTCTCTCCAAAAAGGGTTTTTCACACATAAATATTTATCAGCATTAACTCCTAAATTAATCATATCAGTGAAAGAAAAAACTCAAGTATTATCATATGGACTCTTTTTTAAATAACTTCTTAATGTAGATAATTTTAGTGATTCTATGAATATTTTAATGTCCACCATTCTAAGCCCACCATCAGCATAAAATTTTTTCAGATTTTGTCTTTTAATTTTATCTGGTTTATCATTCCATAAAAATCTAAACAGAATTTTATTTAAGTTTGTAATAAAATCTTTTGGGGGGTTTGGCACTGCCATAAAGATATGGACAAGAGTTGAGAGAGCCAATGACTTGATAACAGTAATTTTACCTTTAAGAGTCAAGTTTCTTCTTCACCAGTTTGCCAATAGCCTATTTATTGTTTCAAGTCTTTTTCGGGTATTGATAACCCATAGATCTTGCAAATGGGGGTTGAGAGTAATTCCCAACACTTCAAAATTGCCTACATGCCAGTCTAATTTTAAATCTTCACAAATATTTGTTGAGCTACCTGCTTTCGAACAGACATTTTGAAGAAACAATCAAGTATATTTATTGCTGCATACAGGCTTTCTGCCTCTCCGTTTAAGAATAATTGTGTGTCGTCTGCGTACTGACCTAATTGATACTCTTTATCATTCAATACAATTCCTTTAATATTTTTATTGTCTCTTATACAACCTAAGACTTCTACAGCAAAAAGAAAAAGATGTGGCGATATTGGGTCTCTTTGTCTGCATCCTCTTTCATTAATAAAGAAAGAAGACATATGACCGTTTTGTATTACACAGGAGGATGCAATATTAGTTAGTATGTGTATCCATTTTATCATAAAAGGCCAAAAAAACCATTAATGTAAATTATCTTTAGGTCGGTTTCAATTTACCAGCTTACAGCTGGAATATTGTTGATATTTGCTTTAAACAACAAACAAACAAAACTATTAGAGAGGTATACCGCACCTGTTTTTTGTTGGCGCGCTCCTCAAAAATTAATGATGCGAGGCACCACTCATCAGATTCGTCCATTTCGTCTTCAAGATATTCATAAATGTTCATTTCATCTTTTCTGAGGCTTTCTAACAAGAAACACGTAACATCCTTCTGGTCGCTGTCTAAGAGGTCTATTTTCTTAAGTATATCCAGACCTGAAAGATTTTATCAAATAATTGCTTAGATATTTAAGGATTAGGGTTTCCAAACCACGCTGACGATTCAAATTACCCTAAACCGACCCACTACAATAATAACGGTACTTACTTGATAGGACTATTTGGATGTCATCTCTCTCCATTCTGATATCTGCTTTACTGACTGCCTGCAAAACATCATCATTCGCATCAAAAGCGTGTGACAAGATTACATTTCTTATTGATTTCACATATCTGAGTATTTGTCTGGATAATATAATTTTCCTGTTTCAGCTGTGAAGGGGTTGTATGCGAGGATTTCGTGACAAAACAGATACTAAACTGACAAACCAAGGATAATAATTAGGGCGAATCTCATATTTGAACCCAAGATCAGTGTATCCTGGCTTGCCTAAGGGAATTAACGCTGCGAATTATGGCGCCTTCTACCACTGAGTTACAGGACTAAAGGACCATTTCTTCATGACCATTTAGCCTTATCTACTTTATAACTGGTCTGTGTATAATGAAATGGCTGCTTTGATATCGTTGAAAAAGATCCGGTATGGTTTAACGCCACACTCAGCAACATTCCAGCTATATGACGGCGGAAATCGAGGCTGGACCAGACAATCAAATGATTGATATTATGAGCAACGATCCACACCGTCGGGGTACCATGGCAACGAAGTCACCGAGCCTGACCAGCTGATCCATTCAGTAGCAAGTACATTTTGATGGAGATCAATTCTAACAGTAAATCCCCAATTGGTGTGGTCTCTTGGTGCAGAACAGCAAGTGCTATAAATTCCCATTAGATTTGTCTCTGTTTGTACCTTATCTGTGTAAGCCTCGCACAGTAGTATCAGGTATTCTCTCCCCCAGTCAGAGTCTCCATCTGTTTCTTCTGAAGGCAGTTCTAGCTCAGCATCCTGATGCTGTAAAGCAGACATGATGTTATTCGTGTCTTCATATCCTTTTGATGATATAGCTTGACTGATCTTCAAGATAGCAGCATGATCTGTAATAAAAGTTGTATACGAATATTTATGTCTTTGGGACACCTTCCAATTTATTAACTCAATAACGGGTCCAAGATTATTGCACTTGCGTCGTGCATGTACGTGTGTGTGTTTGTGTGGCTGCTTGTACTAGTCCGGATTGATGCCGATTGATAGTGCTAGCTGACTGAGATACCATGCCTCAGTTTAACATGAATACCCCACTCAGACACAGTATACTGACTCCAAGCCGACCAGTCCTTGTTTTAGCCCCTTAATGCCAAGGGCCAGACAGGATAACAACAAGTACCATCTTTTAACCTCTTTTGGTATGACGCGGCCGGGGATCTAACCCCGGACCTTCCGCTCTCCGGGCGGACACTCTACCACTAGACCACGGAGGCGGTCTGATTTATTAAAGTACTTGCCAACAGATGGTTAAGAGAACTTCGTATGACTGTGTATGACCCTGTGTATGGTAAGAATATTGGTAGGTGAACACAATGGTGAATATATAATACATACGCGTGATTATTCTTTTGATCTCTTTGAGACACTGTTCAATGTCTTCGCCAGTTACATTTCCTGCAACCTTTACATACACAGCTCTCTTCTCCCCTTCGTCCTAAAGAACAAATAATGGTAAGTATATAAGTAGTTTCGTATGAGCCTGACTTGATATAACAAACAAAAAACTGTAGACGTAATTAGTTAAACCAGCAAAGGCCAAAAGCCTTAAGCACTAACACATATAATGTTCACTGTTAACCAAGAAATACTTCTACGTTTGGCGATGTGACTAATATGTACTCACCGACACAATAAAAATAGATGTGGTTTTAAATATATTCCTCTGTGACAGCTACAAGGCCTTAAGAGTATGAGTGTATTTGGAAGATTACAACGTGAAACAGAGTTCGTCAAACGTTAACGTCTTTAGGTGTGCCGGTAACCTCGTATGTTCACCATGGACCTGAATGGCTGCACGACGCCGCCTGCCCATGGAACATAGAACTGTGGTTGACACACTTTGTGGAATTGTAGAATTCTTGAAGAACTTGGAGTAATTCTTTGGCCCTGGCGGACGTTGACCTTGACGTAAACGTCTGTCTACGTCATCGCAACCATGCTAAAGTGATCTTGGCAGCCACAGTATGTGTATGTTCTGACCTCTCAGGAAATCGGTTCAGACTCGTGGCATGTGGGGACTAGCGTCATGCTTCAAATGGAGCCTAAAACAGGGACGTAAGATTTCGTCGCGATAACGCACACCTGTAAAGTTGCATTGGATATGAACAAGATCTGCTCTTCGCCATTAGAGACTGCTCCCCACATAATGACGTTGCCACCTTATTTCCGTCGTGGATACACACGGATCCACCCATCTCTCCTTTGAAGAAACAGAATGGATTCGACACTGAACCAAGCGCTACGCGAAAGGTGGGGAAGCTTCTTTCTCGGATGGGGCACGCGTAGTTAAGTCGTCTAAGGCGCCGGGTTCGCTGTGCAGAGTTGCGTCCCTTCGGCACGCCAGAAAACTATGATTGTAGGTTCGAATCCCGGTTCGCTCCGATAATGTTTCTAGGTTTGTCAGCACCATACCCGTGCTCGTGGGTTTCACCAAAGTGGTAAACGTCTGAGACCTGCATCACTCCGGGCTTTCCTCCCACATTACGCTGACACACCGCGATGTAACTGAAATACTGTTAAAAGCGGCGTTAAACCCAACTCAATCACTCTTGCTCGGATCCCACCAGCGCATAAACGGTAAAGGACAGTCTGTTTACATATGAGACGTAAACTGTTAGTTTGAGTTGCAGTGTTCATTGTGTACAAAGATGCAGGTCACGCATGCAGCGACCCTTGGCTACTGTGGTGATATGTGGTTTCTCTGATCTTGTTGACGATATCTTTCCGAAAGTTGGGAAATTGTGCTCTGTGCAATGTTGAAATGCCTTGCCACTGACGCTTGGGATTCACCAGCTTCATGTCTACCAATAGCGTTATTCACGCATTATTATCATTTATCAGTGACTCTAGGCCTGACAATTTTCAAAAAAATACTCTTTATCTGAGTCATAAACTTGCCCATAAAAATTATGCTCAATTCCATGACTTGCACGTGAAAACTGCATTTCAGTCCGCAAGAAAACGAATCTTGTAAATGTCGAATGTTCATCGATATTCACTCTATCAAGTCACATTAAAACCCGTTTTGTGACACTTTATCGGTAAAAAGGAAAAGTTAGACTTTATGTTCATCTAATAGTGCAACATGGATTACTTAAGTACATTTAAAGGTATTCTTACCCACTATGCGTTGAAACTTTCATTTTTACAGAGTATATATACTAATAATCGCAACGAAGAACAGGACATTATAAAAATGAGATGTTTTTAAGTAACGGGCCATGCCTTGGAGATGCCTCGGAGCATTTTTCTTTTAAGCATCGTCATAATCACCTTGCTCTGTGTCAATAATTTGTGATAAGCGACAAACGTTCCTTCCTTCTTTCCTTTCACGACTTCGTTTAAGTCGAAATATTTGATCTTAATTGATGCCATTAGTTCTTTGGATGTTGCAGACCTCATCACCCTGACAATCGACTGGTACCCTGTAATCACAGACACTTGTTATCATGTGGGTGTTCTGTTGAGTGGGGTAATGGATATTTGTGTAAATAATATTATGGATGCAATAATAACTTAATGGTTAACCTTCGAACTTCTACCCGCCAAACATTTCTTGCCAATCTCTCAACAACATTTATTACAATATATTTCTGCACCTTAAGTACAGTTGAATTTGCAATATTCAATTGACGTTTCTGCATTCAGAGCCATACATACAAGATGACATACTTGTTGTTCAATCACGATTGTGCCTTTCTATATTTATATGTTAAACATTATCAGAACAGGACAGAACGGATATGTATTACGTTCATGCCAAATTATTCAGGATATGAGGTCCAAATGACATATATACGTACAGTTAGTGAAGGTGGATAATTCTTGCAGGGAAATTTTCAGAGTTTCATCATTTGGCTACAGTATTACATAGGTTCTTCTTTACAGATAATGTTGTATGTCCTTGAAGAAAATGCTTCAAAGTTTAAAATATTCGGTCTCAATTAAAATGAATAAGATATATACAGTTTTCTTTCTTTTGTCATTAATGTGTACATTTTATGATATAATTCATCCTCAATATCATCTGTACAACACAATTTACTTTTTCTATCATAAAAAGGTATCTTATTCCGACGTCCCTTTTCAATAAGTAAACGGGAAAAGGGTAATTATATTGCTAGAGTTAATGGCAAGGAATTTAGTTAATTTCGCGCAAAACGTTAACATACGGAATTTAACGTCAACAGAAAGTGGAACTCAGCCTAATTCGCATGAAGCATAAACAAAGGAGGACTTTTCTTTTCAGGCATTTCTTACTCATAAAACACACTTGGATATTTTTAATTTGTTTTAAATTAACAAACCCCCAAGTTACACACCCATATAACAAGAAAAATCATGTCATCAAAAAGATATAATGGGCATTGTATAGAAAGATTACAGCTTTTTCGTAAGACAAAATACATAGCTTTAGTGGCCTGTTGACAAAGATTGGTAATACATACGTTATGGGAGATCAAAAGTTAAACCAATATATATATATATGAATATTGGTTTAACTATATATATATATTAAGGACCATATCTTTTATCTTTGCTCTTATCATTTTTATTACCACCAAATACAAGAATTATTTTGTACATTCTTAGTTAACTTCCATGTTTTACAAATAATCTTCAAAATGTGTTATTGCTTTAGGGGGTTTTAAACTTGACGTGGCTAATAGGATAGTGTCATCGATATACAATACAACAAACATTGATATTGAGAGGTCAAGCATTGAGTCGAGTGTATAGGAAATGATTGATAATCTTGGACAATCTTTAGATATTTAGAAGCTGTCTTAGTCATTTGAAAATAGAGAAAACAATACTGGTGATACATTGTCTCCGTGACGGACACCGACAAGACATGGGAAGAATTCTGAGTCAGTTCCCCATACAGAAACACATAATTTTATACGTTTATACATTGATTGAATCATTCCTAAACATTTACCGTCTACATGTATACCTTGCTCAAATAGTTTTGCCCACAGAGCAGCCATCCAAATACTATCGAAAGCTTTTTTTAAAGTTGATGAAACAACATTCTTTTCTTTCGAGATTTAAAAGGTCCATTAAACAATGAAGGGTAAATATATGGTCATTAGTAGATTATGTCTTACGAAATCCAACCTCTGCTTCTGACACATTATTTTGATAGTAAAAAAATTAATTCCGTTACTAAGAATGTTGGTAAATAACTTTCCAAAACATCTAAACAAAATCTTTGGTCTAATATTAACATTTTCTGTGTTTATCCTCTTTACCCTTGTAGACAGGACGTGTAGTACCATTAAGCCACTGCATACCATCATCCATCATTTCATATTTGGTTTAATAATCAAGCATATAAATGTAACATAATGTATCTAGCGGTGTTGATGAATTCATTAATTATCTGATCAGGGGCTTACCGTTTTTCAGATCAGAAACAGCTAACAGTATTTTTTCACTTGTAATTACACTGTTTAAAATTTAAGTACTGTCGTCAGTGTCTATATGTAACTTATCAGCGAGAGATCATCAGGTTCTTCATTAAGCGTATCGTCATTGAAGGATTTGAATTGTGAAAATAGTTATTCAAGTGTGATAAGGCCCAACACTTTGGCATCTTTTCAAACAACAATTTTCAAAATGATTTCGTATCATCAATCTGTCAGTTAGATAATTTTTTCCGTGAAGCATTTCGGGTGTGAATTGTTAAACTTTATCAGTCTTTTTATTAGCTTTACTCGCATTGATATATCTTTGTTTATTTTCTGTTGTTTTATTCTTTTGGAAAATAGTTTTAGTCTGATTATATTTACCTCGCCTGATCTTACAATCACGACCCCAACAGGGTTGGGGTCGTCGGTTAACATGCTTATTTCGTTGTATTGGGTTATTTTAAAGCCAAATAGTGACTTTAATGAATACATTTATAAACATCATCAAGAATATCTGTAAGTGTTTGGTGGTCACCGATTGGAGTCTCAAAGTCAGACACAATATGGCCTATTACATTTTGATGAGAGTCAATGGCACTGTAAAACTTATATTACGACAGTGAACAATTTGTGCAATTGTTGCAAATTAATGTTACCTCATTACTACATGCATGTATTTATATCAATATGTCTATGCACGTATGTCATTGTTGCAATAAACTCTCCCTATATACGACAATTTAGGACAGATAGGTACAAAGACACACAATCAACGTACTCTGTATATAATAGATTGAATTGTATGATATGCATTACTTAGAAGTTGACGGATGACAAAGTAGACACAGTCTATGGCCCATTAAGCAATAATCACCGCACCTATACAACTTATTCTGTTTATTTGGCTTCCACCTATGTGTTCTTCGTCCATCATGTTGTGACAGGATTATCCTTCTGTTGTCATTACCTACTCATGTTATCCCACTCATGTATGCAATTGCTGTTACTGTTTATCCTCCACCTACTATATATATTCTGTAGAATGTCCCTCATTCAGTCTTGCTTGACAACGGTATAAGGGCCTATACCGAAACGTCGCTTTTTACAGTATAAAAGAAGTTGTTATCCATAAATTGTGTCTACTTTGTAATAATAGATTGATTGATTCTGACCATTGTTCGTCGCGTCCGTTGACTGGACCACCCGATCCATGATACTGCTGGAGATGTATTCCTACCCGTAATCCACATGACGATCACTCAGTGTTTACTTTTCTAGACGTAACAATGTAACAACGATAATAGTACTTACTGTTCACATGATTAATAGCATCTTGGATTTCTTGGATGTTCAGTCGTCGACACTTCGTGATAAGATATATACAAAACAGTAAAATATAACATCCGGCCAAATATGACCTACGAGACACTATAAAACGTATCAATTATAAAACTATTGAATCAGAATAAAAATGTAGCACACGGACACATACCTACTTGAAGCTACTGTTCAGCCACACGGAGGCGCGTACTCATACTTAACATACACCGCACATATACATACATCCATAGACACATTTACATAAATACATACCTCGTGATGCAGGCGCAGAGCACGGCCGTGGGCGGTTTTGCACGGCCAGTATGCCAGGATACAGGGCAACTGACTTGGAAAGACCTAAGTTAAAAAGTGCGCCCCCCCCCCCCCCCCCCCCCCCCCCCCACCGCGTTGCGCGCGCACACACACACACACACACACACACACACACACACATCACGTCATACACACACACACACACACACACACACACATACACACACACATCACGTCATACACACACACACACACACACACACACACACACACACATACATTATTTCTACTTCCTTATACTTATTCAAACCCCAAATGCCAGCACCATAAAATAGAATAGGTTCTACAAGAGCTTTATAAAGCTTGTTAAATACTTCGTAGGACATGCCACCCGCGTGTTTAAACTTTGAATACAACGCAGAAAGAGCTCTGCTAGCCGATTTACACAACACCTGGACTGTTTTGTGCATATCTAAATGCTCATTAAAAGTTAAACCAAGATATTTGTAAGAGCTTTCATAATCAATAATAGATTTGCCGCATACAAATACTTGCTCAGATCTAGCCACAGATTTGTTTCTGAAATGCATGATTTTGGTTTTGTCTGAATTAATATCCAAACGCCATTTTTGACACCATATATTTAAAACATTCAACATTTTCTGTAACGAGTCTTCGTCTTCAGCTAACAAGGCTATATCATCAGCATACAACAAAACTGATAACACAGAACTTTCAATAGGTATGCCACAGTTTAACTTATTAATTTCTAACACCAAATCATTAATATAAACGGAAAATAACGTTGGCGATAACTTGCATCCTTGTTTAACGCCCAAGGTAACATTAAAAGATTCAGTGATAAAACCATTGAGCTTAACTGCACACTTTACGTCCATATATAAGGCTTGTATAGCTTGTAGCATTTTACCATGAATACCAACAGACATAAGCTTGTACCAAAGGCAATTGCGATTAACCCTATCAAACGCCTTCTTAATATCAACAAAACAGACATACGTAGATCGTTTAGAGGCTTTACGGTTATTAACAATATTGTAAAGTGCATATAAATGATCAGTACAGTTTCTCTTAGGTCTAAAACCATTTTGCTCTTCCACAAGAATATTATTTGACTCCAACCACTTCTGTATCCTACAGTTCAGTATACACGTGTAGACTTTACAGGGTATTGATATGAGAGTAATGCCCCTGTAAGACAAAGGATCTATCATCGGGTAAGTGAGTGAGTGAGTGAGTGAGTTTGATTTTACGCCGCTTTTAGCAATATTCCAGCAATATCACGGCGGGGGACACCAAAAATGGGCTTCACACATTGTACCCAAGTCGGGAATCGAACCCGGGTCTTCGGCGTAACGAGCGAACGCTTTAACAACTGGGCTACCCGACCGCCCCTTTTTCAGGTAAGGAAAAGGTCTCATGAACACCTGAAACTTTCAGGACATTATGCCAAAACAGTAGAAATGAGATCCTGTTAAATGCAAGGGACTGATTTGAGCCCAACAGGGAGAGATCTGAGCCAGGAGTGAGTGTTTTAGGCCTAGTAGAGGGGAGAGACCTGAGCCTAGGCTCAAATCGCTCCAGAGTGAATTTATAGGGGATTGTTTTGAGCCTGCAACACCGGCCCTGAATCTTTTTTTAATAAAGAAACCCACTTACTTTGGTTTGGCCTAACCTTGTCTTGCTTTTCAGCTCTCCTTTTCCGGAATTCGTATATGTATTCTTGAGCAAAATTCAGTTCATGAGTGCCCACTTCCACGTTTTTTATTTTTCCAGATGTTAGTCCCGTAATCCAGGAGTCGTCCTCATAGAGTCTTCTGATCCCATGATCAATGACTACACACACCCTCTCGGCTGTAATAAAAACAAGAATCATGAGAATGCAATAATGTATCGGAAGACATGCATGTAAGTATGTAATTACTAATTCCTGCTGGCAGCAGGGACCCATCTTAATGAGACATCACCACGTACTTTAAATCCCCGTTGGAATATCTCTGTTGAACTTTCTCCCAATGCCCCATGCTGATCGTAGAGCCGAGTAATGACTATAGGCTAGTCATGCTTGATGACTTTGATGATGTTGTGCCATCCATGGCAGGACTGCTGACTAAAGAGCTCTCGTTTACTCACATTATGTTGTCAGTATACAAATACACACATGCCTCCCTTGTTCAAGGAAACAGCTTAAATGTGCACTATACCCGTTCCGTATGGATTCAACACCGATCGTCACATGCTTGATAATGGTCGCTCCTAATTGTAATAAAGAAGTTGTTCATCCATATATCTTATCCTTACTTAGTAATCCAATTTCTAAATCCCCCTCAAAGAAGTTACTGGAGCATAGTGTTTACTGTAGGTGGATGAAATGTATTTAATGTTTACGGTAGATCGGAAATATTGAAAACACAAAAACGTGACAAAAATGTCACGTCATCATTCCTTAGTGCCACCCCTTTTGTACATCTCAGTTTTAAAGCCAAATCTGAAATAAGGTATTAATCAACCCGAACATTTGCATATTAATGTTTCAACAACATTTCCCCCAAAATATCTCACTGAACTCTTTCCAGTCTTCTCTCCACAGAGAACTCTCCGATCTCAACAACAGAAACTATTTTCTATTCCGAAAATCAGAACATCCACGTTCGGCGAAAAACCATTCTCTTATTCCGCAGCGATTCTATGGAACTCTCTTCCAAATAATGTGAAATTATCTCTTTCAGTCTCTTAAATCACACCTCAAAGCCCACCTTTTAGACAAACACTGTCAATGCTAAGCGCCCTGAACACAATGTTTTGCGCCTTTTATGCGCTATATATACATGCATCAGAAGAAAAATTATTTATTTTTGTCTCACCCATAGTCACAAAATACATAACACCACAACATAAAACATTGCCACCATTCAGGGTTATGAGAGATATTTAACATATAAACAAATTATAAATTAAATCATATATTTAAAACATATAAGTATTGGGTCACACGAGCAACCTGCACTTACAATATCAAATATTACCCACGATATAATATCTAAATATAACCTGCAATACAATGCTTAAAGACGACCCGCAGTGTAATATTCGGATACCGACCGCTGGAAACAGTGCTTTGTAAAAGAAATAAATTAATATTATATTATCATGATATATTTACATCCATACGTCGTCGAAACATCAGGGACACTGTTGCAGCTAGGCAATGTTGTATCTCCTCGTTTTGCATAACGTAAACAAACTGATTATTTTTGGCTAAACTGAGAAAATTATTGTCGGTGGTGTGAGCATCCATCAGTAAGTTACAACGGATATCCGAGTATAGTCTGCAGTTCATTAGGAAATGAAATTCGTCTTCTACGATATTTTGATTACAATAGTTACATGTTCTTTCCTCAAGAGGAATTGGTGGTCGACTAAATCTTCCTAATTCAATTTGAAGAGGTAGAGTGCCACATCCCAATTTAGCAAGATCACTTCTATGTTGTCTGCTTCTGATTAATTTAACGTATGGTTCTGTGCAGGGATTAACTTTAAATTTCCTATAGGTACGAAGCTTATTACCGTTGGCTAGTCCCCTGTAATTCCACAGGTCGTTAAACCACGTCACAGAGTCCATATGGATTAAATGTTCTTTAATGGACTAAAAATCTTGATTTGACACCTGCAGTATATTTGGTATATCGATGCCTAACTTCGCAAAGACTGATTGAACGTTATTTATCCAGGATATGAACTATTCTGTCTTGTTCAAGGATCGACAACTTCTTACATAACCTAATGACTTCAATTCTCTGCAGGGTAAGCGAAGACAGCCAACCCATCTCTCCCCTCACAGCCAAGTTAGAGGTTTTACAGCTGACCCCCAAGGAAAAACGGCTTGCACGGTGCTGGACGTTATTTAAACATCTAAACTCTCTTAGTCAGTCCCCAGATTCCGGACCAGTAAGACAAAATTGGTTGTACTAAATTACTATATAAAGTATTATAAACTTCAAATGCTCATTCCGCCCATAGTTTTAAATTTACTGATAATAACACCAAGAGCTCTGTTAGCCGACTTAGCTAACTCCTTGGCAGCAAAGTTAAGGTAAAGATTCTCATGTAGCCACAATCCAAGGTATTTATAGGCTTTGGAATAATCGATCACTTTTTCTTCGATATTGAACAACACATTAGATTTTAAACAGGTTGCTGATCTGTAATGAACGACTTTAGTTTTATCTCCGTTTACCGATAACCGCCATTTCTTACACCATTCTTCTAAAACGTCCAACATCGATTGAAGGCATGATTCATTGGGCGCTATAAGTGCAATATCGTCGGCATAAAGTAACATGCTCAAGATTAATCTATCTACGTTAATACCACATTTTATAGAATTAATATCATTAGCTAAATCGTTGATGAATATTGAAAATAGTGTTGGCGAGAGTACGCATCCCTGTCTAACCCCGATAGATACCGGAAACATATCTGTTAATTGAACATTTATTCGAACCCGACTAGATGTATTTGCGTACATGGACCTCACTGCTTCATAGAATTTTCCCGTGAGACCAACTTGTTGTAGCTTATACCATAAACATTTACGGTTGACTTTATCGAAGGCTTTCTTTATATCGATGTAGCACACGAACGATGATTGTTTATTAAGCTTACGAGTTTCTAAAATAGAATAAAGAGAATACAAATGTTCAAGCGTTCCCCGTTTTCTTCTGAAACCATTTTGTTCATCAACAAGTATTTCATCATCTTCTAGCCAAGTTGAAAGTCTACAGTTTAGTACATCGGAGTATATTTTACCCGGGACTGACAGCAACGATATTCCTCGGTATCCTAACGGGTCCCTCGGGTCTGTGTCAGTTTTCTTAATAGGATCAATAATGCTAAGTTTCCAAAGTTCAGGATATGTTTGTTTTTCGAAGCAGAAGTTGAAAAGTTTATGTAAAATTTCTATACATTTGGCGTTTTTCAAAGCTTCAGTGGGTATCAAATCTTGTCCCGGTGACTTCCGTCGTTTAGATCTTTTAACGGCGCTCTGTACCTCACTCAAAGTTATAGGGCTGTTTAAAACATCACAGTTTATCGCAGATGGAAAAGGTTCAGCTATTTGTTTAAGCAATTCGTCCGATATATGCCTATTATGATCGTCATCGTATGAGTTATCGTCATCGTCAGCGAGCAGGGAACTGAATGATTCTTTCCACGTGTTCAAAACTGTTTGTTTATTAGTAGATATACGGTCCACTTTATATACTTCCCACGGAATGCTATGTGATCTATCATTTGCAACACCTATATCCTACCAATGCTTTTCCAAAAGTCACGGAGGTTATTGGAGTTACATTCGTCTAACTGTCTCTGCTGTGAAGATTGTTGATACGATTGTTTATGTTTACGTAAGGTTTTATCGAACTGTCTCCTTTTGCTTATATAAACTGATTTGAACTGATTCCGTTTATGAGATCCCCGACACTTGAGCCACTCATGCTCCGCTTGACACGTAGTATCCCAGAGTGTTCGCAGTTCCTCACACCAATAGGGTTTGTACACGGATTTAATGCGAGACCTCCGCGACTCCCGACACCCGACGCTTCCATCGGTCCTATCGAGTTGTTGGTGCATGAATTTAACGAACTCGTCAAAGGCGGCGTTAACTGTAGTTCTATCTTCGAGATCGTGTCGATGGCTTTTATGGCTATAGTGGTTAAAAAGATTCTTGTAACATATACTTAATGTTGTAAATACGTATCTGGTCATCTATCTCTTTCTGCGTCAATCTGGTGGCGATAGAGTCTGTTCCTTGCGCTACTTGAACCTTCTACAACCAGAGGATTACTGATTACTTGAATTGTATACACCAGCTATTCAGTGTGTCACTGTTCTATGAAATAATGTAATAATTGGCGACAGATGACAAAGATTAATAACTTTATCTGTTGGTCTAAGCTAAGGTCGTTGTGATTCTTTTACCTTTTCTTTTGCCTCTTGAAGAAGGACGCAAGTGTCCACCACATCCCTCTCGGTAACATTCTTGAGTTTGGGCAAACGTCTCAGTACACCTATGGTTTCCTTTCTGTTGTCCTCGATTGTTTGGTCCTTTCCCAGTGCAACGTCAAGATCGACGAGTACGTCTGTAAGTAAACCACATAAACTAAAGCTTCCAATACCCAATAGATAACCTGACAGTGACGAGTACAGCGTATCAGGATACAAAGGTCTTTGACGCATAAGTTCATGAGCATCCTACGAGTAAGAATTTGTCTCATTGCATCGATAAGAACGAGGTCTTGTCGAACGGTTTCGAGTCCAGGATACATAGAGCTGAAATACTGTCGTGATCTTTCAACATGGAAGTACTATCCTTGAAGCCCTCTCTTCTGAAGGTTAGTTATCCCAGTTTTGTACAAGGTCAAATTCTGATCCTGGTTAAATCGCCGACCCCGCACACTGAAAATAGGTAAAAGTCACTTGGAGCCAGATTTGGAGAACAGTTTGTTTGTTTGTTTGTTTGTTTGTTTTTTAACGCCGCACTCAGCAATATTCCATCTATATGAAGGAAATCTGTGAATAATCGAGTACTAAGTATAACTGATGACATGCATCAAGCAAGTCAGGAAGTCTGACCACCCGATCCCGAAAGTTGCCTCTTACAACAAGCACTAATTCTAACCCGGATTTTCACGGGTTTCTAGTAGTGAGTGAGTGAGTTGGGTTTAACGCCGCTTTAACAGTATTCAAGTTATATCATGGCGTGTCAGCTTAATGTGGGAGGAAAGCCCGAAGTGATGCAGGTCTCAGACGTTTACCACTTCGGTGAAACCCACGAGCACGGGTATGGTGCTGACAAACCTGGAAACATAATTGGGACGAACCGGGTTTCGAACCCACAATCATAGGTTTCTGGCGTGCCTAAGGGACGCAACTCTGCACAGCGAATCGCGGCGCCTCAGACGATTGGGCCACCCGTGCCCTCGGGTTTTTAGTAAAAAAGGTGGAGGGGGTGGAAGCAAATGGGAATGAGCCGTGAACCAAAGTGTACTCATAAAGCATCGATGGTGGAAACCATTATACAATAGAGATTCACGGGATAGAATTGGTCCTAAAAGAAATGGTTATACTTACTTTCAGATGGGTGAACTGGGGACGACACAACAACGCCCATTGTGATTTTACTTGAACATCAGAGAATCAAAAAATAAACATCGGCACAAACCCTTTTAAATTGATTAAATATTATTGCACCTATGAAGCTTCAAAATGTCGGAAATACGTGACACTGTGTGCATTGTGAAAATTCTATTTTTATCTTCTTGGGTGTCTGCAGGGTAGCAGTTATTTTGATTTTTCTTCCAAAAGGCTTGATTAGTCTTCGTAGACAACAAAACCTATTCCAATACGTCACCATATTCCCCGACACCATTCCTTAACCCGTTACTCAACTGAACTGCTTACTGTAATAGATACGAGACGGGCGGCTTTTGATTAAAAACAGTCTTACACTGCAAGTGTTTGTTTTGTTTGTTGTTTACCGCCGCACTCAGCAATATTCCAGCTACATGACGGCGGTCTGTCAATAATGGAGTCTGGACCAGACAATCCAGTGACATCATGAGTATCGATCTACGCAATTGAGATACGATGACATGCATCAACCAAGTCAGCGAGCCAAGCACAGTCGCTTTACATCAAGCAAGGGTTGCTGAAGACCTATTTTCACCCGGACCTTCGTGGGTCTACACTGCTAGTGAGTACATGCCACTTTATCAGGGTGCTTTCAGTGACCCATCAGCAGCACTCATCCTTGAAGTGGGGAAATGTTTAAAATTCGTCATGAAAATTTGGTTGATATGAATGTTGTGTGCTTTGTATGCTTTGAACTCTCTCAACAATCATATAATGAAAGGTTCATCTTGGGTCAAGTATATATACAACACGTCAACGCCAGAGAATAACCAGTCTCGATTATCCGCCGAAACAGATTCAATTGGGCGTAAAGCCGTCTTTCGATTTTAGTCACTTTAAAAGCTTTCCAAATCGTTTGGAAACTGACATATATCTCATTATAATAAGGGATTTGGGTGTGAATAGCATCCAGTCAGTGAGTTGCTCACTACTTACAGTCCTTGATCAATCAGTGGACGGCGCCTCAATATAAAGTATGTAGCTAACACTAGCTTGTTGTAACCTCCACCCCAGCTGTGCGATCAATCTTTCAGTAAGTCAGCTATATTCCCCACAGTGCATGCAGATCACGAAGACCCAATGTCGCCATATTTTGTAACAAGAATATTACTATCACAATGTACCTGTAAATAAAAGTGATGTCTTTCGACATCAATATATTCACATACGTCATCTGCATCTATGTTAATTTAATGTTTTACAAGATTAATCCACTAGGTTGTGCACTAAAATTCTACTAAATATATTAATGTATTTATCCGTTCATAAAAAGTTCATATGTGACACGACTGTTTATGGCCCCGATAAATGTTAATACTGGATTGAGTAAGGTGTTAGAATACAGTTTTATGACTATTGAATTTACAACGTCAAAGCCAGTAAATAATTCGAAACACATTCCATTAGGCGTACAAGGCAAAATAGTCCTGTAAATATGTGAATGGATCACTAACAATCAGTGGTAGCACCATGTGTTCGCGAAACGGGTTAACGTGTCCTGCCCTGACTATTGGGTGTAGTTATGTTGTGTATATGCATATAACAAACTACGGCTATAACGAGCTAAAATTAGTGGTCCCTTTGAGTTCGTTATAACCGTAGTTTACTGTACATTGATATACCACTTCAACCTGTATTGGTGAACTAGACAAGATAATTTACGATTGTGTCGCATACGGTAAAGAATAAACATATAACACGTTATTTAAGCAATAACATGTGCGCTATCCAGCCTGTCAAAGGCCAATGAGATACTTCTTGAAACATGATTAAAACAGATAAATTGACCAAAACTGAAAGAAATATCTAGTCTCAGAAATGAAAATATTTTCCAGAAAAACAGTTGCTTAATTATCCTAATGAAAAATAATCCAAAGAACGGAAAGACTTTCTTCATTTTCGGAAATTGAAAATGCACTGATCTAGATGTGCCAACTATTATAGACTTGTATTGGGTGTATTTGATTCAGTGTCTGCATGGTCCGATGAACGTATTTCAGTTCTATCACGGCGTATCATCCTACTGAAGAAAGCACATCGTCATGCAGAAGCCAGAGGTTTGCCACTTCCGTGACACCTGTGAAGATAGGTGCGGACGGTGTTGCAAACCAATGATCTTAAACTGTAGTGATTAACTATGAAGTACTTACATGAATGTATAGTCTCCAATCGTTCTGCAGATAGAATTACATTCACCCACACCCTTTGGTATGTATGGTCGTGTGTCATTGGTGCACAGCTTTATACTTGCTCAAAACAGCCATGGGTAATAAAAACAGGTATCACGTGAATTCCTGGAATAAGGATACACCCCACCTCAAACCCCACCCCCACCCCCATGGGTTTGTGTGTATGTGTACGTGTGTGTGTACGTGTGTGTGTGTGTATGTGTACGTGTGTGCGTACGTGTGTGCGTGTGCGTGTGTGTGTGTGTGTGTCTTCTTGTACTAGTCCGGACTGATGCCGATTTACAGTGCTACCCCACTGAGATACCATGCCGCAGTTTAACATGAACACCCCAATCAGACACAGTATACTGATTCCGAGCCGAAAAGTCCTTGTTTTGGCCCCTTAATGCCGAGCGCCACACAGGGTAACAACAAGTACCATATTTTAACGTCTTTTGGTAAGGCGCGGCCGGGGATCGAACCTCGGACTTTCTGTTATCCGGGCGGACGTTCTACCACGAGACCACGGAGGTGGTCTAACAGACATTAACTGCCTTTTACTATATGATAGTGATTCATAAACACATGGTCATGATATAGTTCGAATCGTAAATCGAGTCTGCTTTATGCAGAGGGGGCACGGGTGGTCCAGTCGTCTTAGGCGCCACGATTCGCTGTGCGGAGTTGCGTCCCTTCGGCACGCCAGAAACCTATGATTGTGGGTTTAAATCCCGGTTCGACCCCGATCATGTTTCTAGGTTTGTCAGCACCATACCCGTGCTCGTGGGTTTCACCGAAGTGGTTAACGTTTGAGACCTGCATCATTTCGGGCTTTCCTCTCACAATCAGCTGACACGAGGGTTTCCAACAGGTCATAGCATTAGGACCGAGTGCTCGGATGTCTATTGTCTTCGTTCATTATTTCAAGGGGACATTTTATAGTTTTCACCGAATATACATTGCACCATGTTGTCACGGAAGAACAATAAATAAATAGGACACGTAGGCAAGCCAGCTGGCTAGACTCATTGTATCCTAGATGCAGCTATCGGTGTTCACGGACAGTAAAGGGATGAAGGGGGCAAAAGGAGCAAGGGGAGCAAGACGGAGCCCCGAAACGTCGTGACAAAGGATATGTCGTGAGCTGCCATCCATAAAAAAAGTGCAATGTATTCATGTTCTCCCAACTTCTAAATGTCTATCCAATACGATAAGGTAGTAGTTTACTTCAAGGTCATTAAATGCTATTAGACAATTGAGTTAAGGGAATATTCGGATCAGGGAATATTCGGTTCTGGACCAGCGGTTGGTAGGTTGAGAAACCATCATCACATTGTCATCAAACATCACAAATTTCAACCTATATACAGGCACAGATGCTGGGGTCTTGATTCTTACCCCGGAAGGCCCACGGAGGCGATATTATCTCAATTTATCTCCGTCATCCTTCCCGTCGTGTAGTAATTGTTTTAATTGCTGACGATAATGGCTTAATGAATATTGATGGATTGAGCATATTTTTGTTATTATACACAACAGTTGAATTTGTCCTGTTCACAACTACAAATATACGAAAAGGAAACCCCGGTCATCTGAGACCATAATAGGATGATTATGAAACCTTTGTGAATATTAATGGAATTCAAACTATTTGCGAAAAAGGATAAATGACAACAGGTAAACACTGACTAAAACTGTCATAATTTTAAGACTTGAACGCGATTCAGGGTAACAGAAAGGTAACACCCACAAATACCATTATTACACGTACAGCTTGAGGTATGGACACATTGTTACCAACCTCATAAAGTGAGTGAGTATGGTTTTACGCCGCTTTTAGCAATATTCCAGCAATATCACGGCGGGGGACATCAGAAATGGCCTTCACACATTGTACCCATGACGGGAATCGAACCGAGTCTTCGGCGTGACGATCGAACGCTTTAACCACTCGGCTACCCGACCGCCCCTCCAACCTCATAAAGACCAACAGATAGTCATAGCCACGTGTACCAATGCATCGATTTGTAGTGTTGAACACCGTGCCTGAACTATTGTGATGCTCCAATCTGGTAACACTAAGCGTCAGGTGGCAGCACATGTTAACGCCACCCAGAGTATTTGGGTATTCTTGCAACGATACCAAAGTACTGGACCTTTTTGCATGTGTCACGTCCTTATGTCACAGCAAAGAGGCGGGACAATTACCTTGTCGTCACGTCGTTAAGGGATGAGCACTTTAATGTGACACGTGTTTGCATTATCAGGACCACCACAAGGAGCAGGTAACGCCATGCTGGTCTCCGCTCTGACTTCTCGAAGTCGGGCTCGTGACACCTCGTCATAGACAAGCTCGTTTACAATGGTACAACGATTAAGTCTGGCGTTTGAACCAACGAAAAGAGGGACACAGCTCAAACGTTAACCACTCCGGTGAAACCCACGAGCACGGGTATGGTGCTGACAAACCTAGAAACATGGTCGGGGTCGAAACGGGATTCGAACCCACAATCATAGGTTTCTGGCGTGCCGAAGGGACGCAACTCCGCACAGCGAATCGTGGCGGCTACGACGACTGAACCACCCGTGCCCCCTCTGCATAAAGCAGACTCGATTGTACGATTCGAACTATATCATGACCATGTGTTTATGAATCACTATCATATAGTAAAAGGCAGTGAATGTCTGTTGGACCACCTCCGTGGTCTCGTGGTAGAACGTCCGCCCGGAGAGCGGAAGGTCCGGGGTTCGATCCCCGGTCGCGTCATACCAAAAGACGTTAAAAAATGGTACTTGTTGTTACCCTGTGTGGCGCTCGGCATTAAGGGGTTAAAACAAGGATCGGACTGGTCGGCTCGGAGTCAGTATACTGTGTCTGAGTGGGATATTCATGTTAAACTGCGGCATGGTATCCCAGTGAGCTAGCACTATAAATCGGCATCAGTCCGGACTAGTACAAGCAGCCACAGAAACACACACACACGTACATGCACGTCGCTATATGCAATGAAGTGTAGCTAGTCTTGTTGCATCTTTCTAACTGCCGATTCCAAACCGTCAAATGGTATACAATCAACAAATGTATTACAAAACTAACAAGGGCTTCCCGGGTCAAGAGTACCGGATTGGCTTGTAGCAAGGCCCTTCGAAATCAAGCTCAAACGGCGAATCAAATCGACGACAGGAATCACTTTGCACTACAGTAAAATACGTTAAAACGAACACGCTTATAACGAACTGACGGATATAACGAACTTAATTTTTGGTCCCGGCCATTTTCTGTATAGATGTTGTATATATGCTTACAACGAACTACGGTTATAACGAACTAAAATTTGTGGTCCATTTGAGTTCGTTACAACCGTAATTTACTGTACCTGAATGTTGCCCCGCCGGTGGCACCCGCTACAAACACATGCAAAGGCTAGTCAATTGTTCACCTGAAAAACACGGGAACGGATGGTACAAGTCAACATTGGGATTTGCATCTGACATCATATTTGTCACTGATGCGTCAAAGTTGGAATGTCCTCCACATTTCTACCATAAACCTTTTTGAAGAGTCGTATGACGTTCTTTGAAATCTTGGTAGAAAGAGCATGCTCGATTGTGTCTCAAACACCAAAGGCTGGAGCTGCTGGAATATTGCTCGATATGAAGGGAAAGTTGACTCTTGGAAAGGAAGGGTCACTTGACGGTGCTATCGGGGCAACATACTAACACCTGTTGTTGTCCCGTTCGCAAGGCGTGTTGGTCGACGTTTTGTCTTTCTGGACGACAACGTCAGTGCTCTCCAACCACGAATCTTCAATGTTTATCTCTAGCAGCACACCATCCACAGAATCCCATGGTCATCATTGAGCCCAGACCATTT